GTGTGTGTGTGTGTGTGTGTGTGTGTGTGTGTGTGTGTGTGTGTGTGTGTACACATGTGTACACGCACATGCCACTTGAGTTAATAAAGGTCAAACCTGGTTTGGCAGGGCGTCTTCTTATGTGAACTTAGGTGTTCACTAAGCCCTGCACGCTTGGCACAGCAAGTGCTTTACCCTCTGAGCCATCTCATTACCTCCTCTTGGTTTCTTAACTGAGATTTTGAGTGCTAAAAGGTACTAAATGTTTATCTAGTGTAACAATAAGTGCTTGTCTGCCTACATCCAAATGTTTATTATTTTATATTTTATTTTGACCACTGACACTAGCTGTTGACCTTAGGTTGTTTGCAAAGGACACACACAACACACAGAGGGATTTATTAGAGTGGCTTACAGACTATGGTCCAGGCTCTCTCCCAAGAAAAGGCTAGTTGTTTAATCCCCAAGACCAGATGGCTTTGCAGCCCCAGAGGGCTCCTGGAGCAGCTGATCTTCAATCTGTTGGAATCCAGAAGTAGATTCTTACACTAGACAAGGAATGCCTCAGCTAGAGGACAGGTAGAATTTGCTATCAAGAGTGATGGCTAGCAGGCAGAAAGCAAAAACTTCCTTCTTCCAGGTCCTTTATGTAGGCTGCCACAGAGCAGGGAGGGGAGATGACTGACTGACTGACTCTGAAACTGGGCTTTTGAACCCTCAAAGTCCACCAACAGTGAGATTTCTCCTCCAATAAGGACTTACTTCCCAATCCTTGCCAAACCGAATACCAATGGGGGACCAAGCATCTAAGTACATAAGCACATGGGACCATTCTCAATCAAACTTCCACACTAACTACAAGGGAGGAAACATCTGGCTAAATCAGAACTTGATTTCTTTGTTATGTAATCAAAGTGTATGACCACCATATTTTTGAGACAGTCTCTAATTGAATCTAGAACTCTTGATTTGACTGCACTGGCTAGCTAGCAAGCCCGAAAGATTCTCCTGGCTCCATCTCTAGGATTATAGACAGCCTTTTCCATGGTGCTGTAGATCTGATACCAGGTCCTAATGTTTGCACAACAGGTATTTTATAGACTGAGCCACTTTCCTACACTCTTAATTTTTGAGATAGTCTCATGAAGTCCACATTGGCTTTGAACTTATGTTCCTTCTGTCTCTACTTTCCAAGTCCTAGAATTCTATTTGGTCAGCACTAGACCCAGTTTAGATTTTCTCTGTGATGAAATTATATGAGGCATGGGGATTACTCGGATGTTTTTGCTTTAGGGGCTTTTGGTTTGTTGTTGTTTTTTTTTTTTTGCCATTTCTTTTTATTTGCCCATTCATAATAAGCTGCCCAACATGGGTGCTGAGGACTGGACTGAACTTGGGTCTTTTCAAAAGAGCAGTAAAACTCTTTAACTTCTGAGCTATTTCTTCAGATCCCAAAATTGTGTAGGGTGAGTAGGTGCATGCTCACAGTTGCTTGAAGAGGCCAAAAGAGGGTGTCAGATTCCATGGAGCTGGAGGATTTTTGTTTTGATCCCCACCCCCAGTAGTGTTTCTCTATATAGCCTTGGCTATCTTGGAACTCACTCTGTAAGCTACACTGGTCTTGAATGGAGAGATTTTAAAGTTATGCACTACTTTTAATTCTGTTTTGATTTTTAGATAATCTCATAGCAAGCACTCTTAACAATAGATTTTTCCATCTCTCCCACCCCCGTTTATTTATTTTACTTTTTAAAATTCATTTTCATGTATTTGTTTCCCTGTTCATGTGTGTGTACACCAAGGACTGAAGAGGGTGTTGGACCTCCTGGAACTGTGTTCTAGGTGACTGAGCTGCCATGTTGTTACTGTGTGAAAGCAGCACGCTGCTAACTCTGAGTTGTCTCCCTATCCCCCTGATCCTAACTTTTATTACTGCTTCTGCCCCTTTTTTTTTTTTTTTTTTTTTTTTTTCGAGACAGGGTTTCTTTGGAACTTTTGGAGCCTGTCCTGGAACTAGCTCTTGTCGACCAGGTTGGCCTTGAACTCACAGAGATCTGCCTCCCACCTGGCTGCCTTTTTGCCTTATGTTTATTTCTTTTTGTGTCTTTTGTGAGTCACATTTTTAAAATTCTGCCATGAGAGTTTCAGGAAGCCTGGAACTATCATAGTCACCTTTCCTCAGCCTCTCAGATTGCTGTAGTCACAGACTGTAAGGTCTCCCCCACCCCCAGTCTGTGTGTGTTGTGAATGGTGTATATTCTTTCAGTGAAGATGTGTCATGTCACCTCTCACCTCTCATTGTGTTGAGCATTAGCTGTTTATGGCACACACCTTTAATTCCAACACTTGGGAAACTGAGGCAGAAGGATCAGAAACTCAAGGTCATCTTGAGCTACCTGAGACTCTGTATCTACCCCCCTCAGTTTTTTGCATATCATATGCATCTTATAGCTCCTTCCTTGTGTTTATAGCTGCCATTTGATGACTGTACTGTAGTCCCAGATCCAGCCATTCACTAGGGCTTGTGAGTTAATGATACTTCTGTCATCCATCTTGAATTTCTAACTGAAGTTTATTGTATTGCAAAGCTTCACCTCATCAGACGTATGGATTATCCTGAGGTAGAGTTTACATGAACTGAAAAGGTCCAGACACACTTGGCAGTGTCCTTTGTAAGCTGTCTCCAAAGATAAGAAAAAAAAATAGTGTGTTGTATTCTTTGGGCATCATCAACTTAAGGAATTTCATACTAACTTTTTTTTTGGTGGGGGGGGGGTTCAAGACAGGGCTTCTCTGGAGCTTTGGAGCCTGTCCTGGAACTCACTCAGTAGCCCAGGCTGGTCTAAAACTCAGAGATCCTCCTGAGTGCTGGGATTAAAGGCATGGCCAATTAATATTTTTTTACTAGATTCTCAGTTAAATTAGAAATTAACCTAAAGGAGCCGGGCAGTATGCATTTCCTCAGTTTCTGCCTCCTAAATTATTGTGGAAATATCCAAGTTTGTATCATCTAAGCCATAACTTAGAAAGTCCTGCAAATGCATCTGACTCTGCCTGTGTGGTTACTATATGCACTGCTGTGCTGCTACTGAACAAACTAAGGTGCTGGACGAAGGTATTTCTAATATCTTTCAAATATACAAAGTCAAGTGCTGGCTTGTAAAGTTCCACGGGCCATAAAAAAGATATTTTTTTCTTGCACGGCAGTGGAATCTTTGCATAAAACTACCTCAATTTCCCCTTGCCATAAATTACATGACAGTCAGAATTAACATAAATTAGATCACAGACATACGCATATACCTCTGGGGTTTTTTTTGCGGGGGGGTGGGGGGTTTACAGGGTTTCTCTGTAGCTTTGGAGCCTGTCCTGGAACTAGCTCTTGTTTTGTTTTGTTTTGTTTTGTTTTGTTTTTAAAAAAAAAGATTTATTTACTTATTTATTATGTGTACAGTATTCTCAGTACAGATCTCATTACAGATAGTTGTGAGCCATCATGTGGTTGCTGGGAATTGAACTCAGGACCTTTGGAAGAGCAGGCAGTGCTCTTAACTGCTGAGCCATCTCTTCAGCCCCTGGAACTAGCTCTTGTAGACCAGGCTGGCCTCAAACTCACAGACATCTGCCTGTCTCTGCCTCCCAAGTACTGGGGTTAAAGGCGTGCACCACCACCGCCTGGCTCATATACCTCTGTTATAAAACAAAGTCATCAAGTCTCTGGCCTCCCATTCTCTTTGTAGCTCTTTGGCATTGAATTACTGATCTGGTCTCCTGGACTCAGGTTCTGAACTTCATGCCTGCACCACCATGTTAGACTTAAAGTAAACTTTTCTTACCCTCGGCAGCATTGCCATTTATGACTGGTATTCTTATCTACAGTGGGGAAGAAATCCCTTGTGAACTGTGGGTGCCTATTGGCTATCACTAGACTCTAGTAGTAGCACTTCCCTTAGCTTGATTGTGATGACTAAAAAGATCTCCAGATACTGCCACATGGTCTCAGTTGGACAAAGTTACTCCTAATTAAGAGCCACTGACATATGAAATAATATTAAGTGTGGTCCATGTAAAGTATAACCTAAGATACATATACATTCAATTTTGTAGAAACCACCACAACCAAGTAAATAAAACATCTTTTGTGGGGGTCGGGTATGCATGACTAGCTCTGGTTTTTGCCTGCCTGCCTGCTTTTCTATTTTTCTTTCTTTCTCTTTATTCCTTCCTTCCTTTTTTTTTTTCTTTAAATGTATTTATTTTGCAGGGGTTATGTATCCCAAACCAGCCTCAGAAGTTGAGGAACTTGAATTTATGCTCTTCTTGCCTCTACCTTTCTTGTGCTACAGTACGGGTGTGCGCCACCTTTGCTGGTTTGTGTGGCACTGAGGATAGACTGTGCCTGCTAACAAGCATCCCATTAGCTCAGCAGTACTTAAGCACCTTTATTTATTTATTTTTTTAAGCACCTTTAACATGGGTACTGTCGGTATTATGTTGGAAATTTTTGTTATATTGCTTTCTTCTGTTTTCAAGTATACTTTGTAAATACAGAAAATAAATATCAGTAGTCATTAAATGTTCAGCCAGCCTTTTTAAATATTTAAAATAAGAACTACATAGACACAGTTGCTTCAATTTTGTTTACTTGGAGACATGGCATGTTATATGTTTTTGGTGACATACCCCTCATGAGGCACACAGTTCCTCCCCTCAGTTAGCATGAAGTCAGAAACAGATGTGACAGCACAGCCAGTAGGTATTTGTGGGAAGAAAGGCACAGGTGGTGCAGTGGGGGTTTGTGAGCACTACAAGGAGATCCTCTTGCCTCTTCCTGGGTGTTGGATTGAAGGTGTTCCCATCTCTTATCTGACATTAATCTGGCAAAGGAACCATTGTAGGAATATGGAAGACACGTTGAGGGAAAGGGATATTATTAGAAATCTGCTACTTGGTATATTTGGTGGTGTATGATGTTGGGTGAAACAAGGAGGACTGGTCTAGGGGTGTAGCTCAGTGGTGGGGCCCTTGTTTAGCATTCCCAAGGTCCTAAGCATTATATCTCTGACAGAATAAAACAGAATAGAAAGTGAAGAAAGAATTGAGTGGTAGGCTTAGGATTTGTATTGGCTAGTTTTGTCATTATTGTTTTTCTTCTGAAATGAACCTTTCATACCCCTCTTAAAACCCATGATAAAGTATGGAGTGTCAGACACTCCCTGTGGTTCCTTCCCTCCCCGATCTTGATAGTTTGTCTTATCTTAGAGATGAAAGCCAGGTGAGGGGAAGATCACTTGACCAGCTAAACTCTCAAGGGTGAGTCACATTGCTGAGACTAAGACTAGGGTAATAGTCTAGAGTGGTGAGAGGATGGATGGGAGCTGTGTGAGATGGCTTTTAAGAGGCAGGATCAAAGTCAAATCACACAGAGCCTTGTAGACCACACAAGTACATACTGAGTGCTGAGGAGGTTTCATTTCCTAGTAATGTGTTTCTTTTTCTTCCCTGCAGTACCAAATATGCCCCAACAGCGACAAGACCAGCATCATCAAAGCACCATGATGCATCCTGCCTCAGCAGCAGGCCCACCCATTGTAGCCACCCCGCCCGCTTACTCCACTCAGTACGTTGCCTACAGCCCTCAGCAGTTTCCCAGTCAGCCTCTAGTTCAGCATGTGCCGCATTATCAGTCTCAGGTAAGGCCAAAAGGGCCTCTCTCATTTTAACTCCTTAGAAAAACTTCTCATTTCAGCTCTTCATGTATTTATGTGGTTATAATATCAGATAGTTAAGGAGTTGGGGGCTTTTAAATATGTAATAACTTGGGCTGGAGAGATTGCTCAGCGGTTAAGAGCACTGATTGTTCTTCCAGAGGTCCTGAGTTCAATTCCCAGCAACCATGTGGTGGCTCACAACCACCTGTAATAAGATCTGGTACCAACTTCTGACCTGCAGGGACACATGCAGGCAGAACATTGTATACATAATAAAATAAATCTTTAAAAAAAGGAAAAAAAAGAATTATAATAATTTGCCTGGCGGTGGTGGTGCTCGCCTTTAATCCCAGCACTCGGGAAGCAGAGGCAGAAGGATCTCTGTAAATTCAAGGCCAGCCTGGTCTATAAGAGCTAGTTCCAGGACAGGCTCCAAAAGGTACAGAGAAACCCTGTCTCAATAAAAACCAAAAGAAAAAAAGAATTATAATAGCTTTTTCTATATTTTATATTTTATTTTATGTGTGATTGTTTTGCATGCCATGTATATATGTGGACCACATCAAGCCTGGTGCACTGGAAACCGGGTGGGGAGATGGCTTGTGCTGCTCTTGGAGAGGACAAAGGGTTCAGTGTCCAACAGCCATTTCTGGTTGACTCACAATCACCTGTGAATATTTCAGAGATCTGACACCCTCTTTTGGTCTCCATGGCACCTGCACAAACAGATAAGTAGACACATACATAAAATAAATAGATCATAAATTAAAAAAAAAAAAAGAATTTCAAAAGGAAGCATCCAGAGAAGACTTTAGAAATCTGAAGTGTTTCTGAAAACCATAAACATAGGCATTGGAACTAATAGGGTTGGAGTTATGGCTCAATTGTGAGGAGCGGTTTCTGCTTTTGAGAGGAACCAGGTTTGTTCCCACATGGCAGTTCAGAGCCTCCTGGAACTCCAGGTCTAGGGGATCTGAAGCCTTATTCTGGCCTCTTCAAGCACCAAGACAGACAAGAATGCATGCGCGCGCATACACACACACACACACCAACACAAAATGAATCTTTAGAAAAGAATATTAACTAAAAATCCACATGGTTTGTTTTGATATAATGTTCTTTTCATCCCTCTTTTTTTTTTTTTTTTTTATGTATTTACGTCTAAACACAGCATCCTCATGTGTACAGCCCTGTCATACAGGGTAATGCCAGAATGATGGCACCACCAGCACATGCGCAGCCTGGTTTAGTATCTTCCTCAGCAACTCAGTTCGGGGCCCATGAGCAGACGCATGCCATGTATGGTAGGAAACATTTTATTGTCTTTTGTGTGTGTGTGTGTGTGTGTGTATGTGACTGTATTTATTTTGAAGCACTGTAAAGATACTCTGTTTAGGAATACCCTGAGATAGATATGGTGCTGTGATTCTGTATCCTGCCTACTGGAGTGGGAGGATAGAGACAGGCCTGGGCAACATAGAGACTCTACCTCAGACACAAGAAGGAAAGGTAACCTGACTGTGGCATTGAGAGTCTTAAACACAAGTGACTCATACATAGGTATCAGCAGTCTATTTCTACTTTGTACCTGCAATTTCTCTGTCTTGACATGTTTTTCCTTCTTTAAAAATGACATGAGCCAGACTAGAGAGACGGCTCAGCGATTAAGAGCACTGGCTGCTCTTCCAGAGGTCCTGTGTTCAATTCCCAGTACGCACGTGGTGGCTCAAAACCATCTGTAATGAGATATAGTGCCCTTTTCTGGCCTGCAGGCAGAACACTATATATAATAAGTAAATAAATCTTTTTTTTTAAATGACATGAGCCAAAAGTATGGTGGCACACGCCTTTAATCCCAGCACCTAATACAAGGCAGAGGCAGGCAAATTCTCTGAATTTGAGGCCATCTTGGTCCACAGAGTGAGTTCCAGAACAGCCAGGACTGCATAGTGAGACCCTGTTCCAGAAACGGGAGGTAATAATGTAATAGAGAATATCTTTGTGGAAGAGAGGTGCTTTCCTTTCTACTCTGGTCATTCCACGTGCCCTGCCTAAGCCTTGCAGGAAAGGATGTGCTGTCGTTCCTACTTCCACATCATCACATAGTCGTTAGACCACCTTACGATACGCTTGTATGCTTCTTACGATTCACCTTGAATACTCTAGCTTTAGATGGCACTATAACAAACTTAACACATAATTATCTTCATAGTGACATTTCGGTGTTTTTGAGTATTAGATGAGTATCGCTTATTTATACAGTTGAGAAGTGTACTGTATAGGAATATGATTATAAATGCGTAGAGCTGTACAGACATTGTGTTTCTAGTCTTTTTAGTTTTGATGCCTTAACTAAGCATATACATACAGGACTGTTAGGTCTATAGGTTCTATCCTTCTTGATGGTTGTAACATTATGGTGGCTAATTAAGACTAGGGTTGGGCACCCTGAGTGCTCTCCCTGTATTTGTAATCCCAAGCATGCATTTGAGCTATTGCACTCTTGCCACCAGGGTTCATTAGTAGTTAAGATATATGTTATGGAAAACATTTGCCTTTATAAAATTCTGAAGTCTGCTTGTTCAAAATAATTACAGGTTTTCAATTATTATTGTATCATGCACTAGGTGTTTAGAATAACAGAAGTCCATCTGTTTTCCTGGCATGGTGAGCATGTAAATTTCAGTCATGTGGACACCAGGAAAAAAGGAGGATCAGAAGTTCAGAGACCCTGGGTAGCATAGAAAACCCTGTCTTAAAAGCCCCCTGGTTATTTGATTTATAAAGTGACACACTGGCCTGGTTTCTGTTTCATCATGATATAGCCTTCTGTGTGTGTTCAGTGTGTGATCCCTGGGACTAGATCAGCCCTTGTATGGAAAGGTTCTGGTGATTCTCTTGCTGGCATTCCTGCAGCTGGCATGCTTTCTTGCAATTTTCCAGCTTGTTAAAGGCTTGATTGACAAGCTGGTTAGATTGTAGACAATTGTGGTTACCACAGATTCAGAAGAAGCCCTCCTTTTTTCTGGCATGCCCCAATTGAATTAAAAGGAAACTCTTGAGCTGAAGTTTCCATTTTAGGAACAGCCATTGTGGCGGCCATTGTGGGGCTGAAGAAGCTGCCTGCTTGTAGGCAGGTGGGACTGCTCATCTGGATTTGCCTTTATTGTGCAGCTCCTAAAAAGCACACTAGGAAATTAATTGTTTGGGGTTTTTTTTGCCTCTCATTTTTTTTTTCTTTTAGGCAATCTGTTCATACAAGTTTGTCAGTACCTTGCCAGTAATTTCAGTTAGTTTGGCTCTTCCTCTGGTCAGTTATGCTAAAATACTGTTTGAAAACTGCTGTATGGGAATGCTAATTTTATGTTTATTTCTTTTGAAAAGTATGTATTTTATATAACTCAAGAAATCAAATACTTGAATTAGGTTGACTTCTAACTAACTCAAGATTGTGATGTTGTGGTGCTTTGCCCTAGTTGTTGATGCTAATCTCACATCTCCTTTTCGTTGGTGGTTACTGGTGTAATCAAGTCAAGGACCTTTATGATAAGGAGATTACATCATGTGTGACCTTGTACTCTTGGTTTTTCGACACAGAGTTTCTCTGTGTAATTTTGAAGCCTATCCTGATACTCATCTTGCTGCCTCTGCCTCCTAAGAAGTGACTTTAATTTCTGACTTCCTCACATTCAGGCTCCTGCTCATCTGAGTTGGTATTTCAGCAATGGGTTTATTTTCAGAAACAGTGCAAAGGCAGCCAGAAGAACTGAATGTGCTCTTCCTCTCTCCACCTCTCCTTCACCAAAAAGACGGTCTTTTATGTAGCCCTGGCTAGCCTGGAACTTGCTATGTAGACCAGGCTGCCTCCCAAGTGCTGAGATTAGAAGTGTGCACAGCTACACCAAGCTAAATACTTTTGACATGTGTGGTTTAATGCAGATAAATTTTAAGTATAATAAAGTTTCTCATAATCTGTCTGCCTGACAACCAATTGTTAATGTTGGAGTGCATTCTCTCAGGTGCTTTAATTATGCCCTTTTTATACAAGCACGTTTTAATAAGAAATGGTGTAATACTTGTGTTTCTATTTTTATATCATGAACCTTGAGATTCACTACCAGGGGCCTGTGATGACATTTGTGTTGCTGTGGAAAATTGTGTATCATGAATTTGCTTAAATATTGCATTATCTCAGTACATTGCTTATATCAAGGCTGTTTGATGGATGCCATTTTCATCTTTTTTTTAAATCAGTTCATGGTTCTATGTCAGATAATAATCTTATTCTTTTTATTTAAGCAAGTCAGCGTGTGGACTTGCTCCCTCAGTACAGAAGGAAAGCCTTCCGGTTCAGTCCTGATCGCTTGTAAATCTCTGCAGCAATGCTTATTTACAGTGCTGGTCACCCCTTGTCAAAATGAACCGTGCGTGAATACAAAAGATCACTGAATATGTCGGCCTTTCCAGAACATCAGGAATGCACACCTCAAGAGGCTAATTTACCTTTCTATTTCCCAAATTCAGCATGTCCCAAATTACCATACAACAAGGAGACAAGCCCTTCTTTCTACTTTGCCAGTGAGTTGGGGTTTTTATACTAATTTTAATTACACAGTAAACACTAAGGGATACATGTTAAAGTAGCTAACTTGTTGGAGAATATTTTCCTTCTGCTAGACAGAATCAAAGTATGCATGTCGGGGCTGGGGATGTGATCCAGTGGTAGAATACTTGCCCTAGCATGCACTAGACCCTGAATTCATTCCTTAGTATAAAAACAAAAAGAACTGTGGCTGTTTCTGTGTAGTTCAGAGTTTGAAAGATGAACTGACCCATTGTAATAAGGTTGGGTGCAAAGACAGGCCAATTTGTTTTGGAAAACAGTTTTTATATACAAAGCAAGAATGTAACTGTGCGGGAAGCACCTCATTCAGGGAAACTTTCTGAACAACTAATACTATTTTATACCAAGCCACAAGCCTAGCTTAAAGCTTAAAGCACTAATTTTGTAGTGTCCTGGCATGACCAAAAGTGTCCTCGCCAGGGTTCTCATAGCAAAGGGTGGATGAGGTACTTGGAGAGACAGGTCTGTTTTGTCCCTCTTTGCATGCCTAGAGGCTTACAGTGCTTGGAGCAGATATGGTAGGGGTGTCTAGAACTTCCTTCAGCATGAGAAGGCCTCTGGAAGCTCAGGCCTCAAAGCCAACAGTATGAGGTCTAGACTGCCTATTCCATACATAAACTTGGTAAATGGATTTTCCCTATTTGGGGGGCAGTGTTTTAAAATAAGGCAGATCATGGACTTTGGTAATAGAGGCCCTTGAGAAATGTATGCTGCTGGTGTCACTTCATATGAAACCTGAGTTCTAGAGAACACTGAGATTTTAACTTTGTTATACTAAGTTATTTTGGAATGACTACTAATCATCAGATACTGAGTTTTGGAAACATTTTGACCTTAAATTTTCATTAATTGTATCAAACCTTGGTATCCAAAATTAGCTGCCATGTTTTTGATGCCTGGGATAAGTTAACAAATGGAGTCCTTTATGCTCTTGGGAAAGTAGTCTTGACTGTACCATGAGGAGAGCTTTAAGGACACAGTTTGAGGTCTCACATGCTGTTACCCTCACCATCCTGCTATCTCTGTTGCAGCCCTTTTCCTGTAAATGGCTGAGAGGGCCTTAATCATCATCCCTTAGCACTAACAGCCTGAGCTTACTTCCTCCTGAAAGGAATCAGCACTAAAATGAACAGCTGTTAGTGGGGATTTTAGTTGCCACAGCATTCTACACCTATTCCACTTCCATTTTTGTCTTGGTTTAGTTAGCTGTCTCTTATCCCCTTTTCGGAATTAGTGTTGAAGTTGGAGGATCACGCCCTACTTGTTCTCAGTGTTGTTTTCTAGTGCTGGTGATCACCAATGACTTGTGCATCCAAGATCAAAATGACAGAATCTATTCACAGGTTAAACATGTGGCCCTATGGACTGAACTTGCTTCTCTTAACATCTTAATTTAGGAGACTGGTTTTGGAATGTGGTTAATGTTAAAAATTTTTGACTAATGGCATGTTTAGAATTTTAAATACTTACGTCAAGAAATACTACGTCCTCATCTCATCCAGCTCTTATGAGGCTGCTCAAGCCTTGTAAGTAGTGGGTTAGCTGGTGATAGCCATTTCAGAACTTCTAAGAGGCTTCAGTCTTTTTAACTTCCCAGGTATAGCAGAAACCATTTAATCCTTCCCTTAGCCGAAACCCCTGTTCTTCACCCTCCTCGAATTCTACTCTTATTTACTGTATTCTGCTTCTTGTACCCATCTGTGCCCTTTTAACTATTTTTCCCGTATTTTTATAATTCCCCTCTCCTTTGTATTGCTCTTCTTAACTTTGCTGTTAGTGTGGAGTGTATGAGGTTCCTGTTTCCCCAGTTTCTCACTTTGTATGCAAGGGGAAAAAATTACTTTGGAAGGTGCTTATTTTAGACTCTGAGTCAGAAAATAAGGAGATGAAAACATTTCTAGTGCTCCTTCTAACAGTGCTGCTTGCAGCTTTGTTGTGCTTCTCCCAGCTCTGGCTTTTACTTCTAAGGGCGTGTTACTTGGTGTTTAGGAGAAAGAGGAGCTCTGTTTCAGTTTGGAAGGTTTTTGTTGTTGGGTTTTTTGTTTGTTTGGTTTTGGGTTTGTTTTTTGTTGTTGTTGTTGTTGTTGGTTTTTTCTTCCGAGACAGGGATTCTCTGTGGCTTTGGAGCCTGTCCTGGAACTAGCTCTTGTAGACCAGGCTGGCCTCGAACTCACAGTGATCCGCCTGTCTCTGCCTCCCGAGTGCTGGGATTAAAGGCGAGTGCCATCACCGCCCTGCCAGTTTGGAGTTTTTATAGACAAAGCCTGTGTGGGTTCCTCACAGCATTGGTGCTATGCATGCAGATTGTCCAAATTAGAACACTCACACTACAGAGATACTTTGTTAAAATGCATAATTGTGGGCCTGGAGCGATACCTTAGTGTTAAGAACTAAGGACCCCGGGCTGGAGAGATGGCTCAGCCGTTAGAGGCTAGGCTCACAACAAAAAATATAAGAGTTCGGTTCCCAGCACCCACGGCTGTCTCTCCAGCCACTAAAAAAAAAAAAAAAAAAAAAAAAAAACAACTCAGGACCCAGGTTTGGTTCCCAGCACCCACATGGCCCCTCACAACCATCTGTAACTATAGTTCCAGGGGATCCAATGCTCTTTTCTGGTCTCTGTGGGCATTGCACACATATGTTACACAGACTAACTTACATACAGGCAAAATATATGCATACAATAAAAATAGATCTTTTTAAAAGATGTATATATAGATGGGGCCAGCAAGATGGCTCAGTGACTTTTAAAAAAAAAGTGCATGCAAGCCTGGCAACTGGAGTTCAAGCTCCATAATCCACATAAAGGTAGAAGGAGAGAACCTGCCACATTCCTCCACTCACCTTCTGACATACACACACCAATAGTAATAATTTTAAGATTATTATAAGTGCATAGTTAAAGTTGGGCATGGCGTATGTTTAGCCTATTCAAGAAACTAAAGCAGGAAGTTTAGTTGAGCCTAAGAGTTTGGGACTAGCCGGACAATGTAGCAAGACCTATGTTGTATATAAAAATAAAAATCAAAACTGGATGTGGTAATAAAATCATAACCCCATCATATGAGAAGCTGAGCGAGAGGGTCTCCTAGAAGTTCAAGGTATTCCTGAGCTACATAATGAGAGTTCAGGCTTCATTAGGCCCTCTTTCTAATTACTAACTTCTACGAATGTGACTAAGGGTATTAACTCCGTGGTAGACTGTGTACTTAGTATGCAGGATGCTCTGGCTTCGATCCTCAGCATAATGTGAGTTGGTAGTAAAGCTATTTCGTCCTGGCTGAGATGTACGGTTTGATGCAGTCAGGGGATGATGGGTTCCAGGCCATTATGGGGTATGAAAGAAAAATAAAAATTAATTTTCTTTCCAAATGACAATATCAAGATTTTTACATTTTTCCACTTTATGGATTTAGTTTTGAGACTTGATGGACACCATCACTGTTACTTACTGCAGTGGCTGTGTTTCCATGGTGAAGGTAGTGCAGCATTTTGCTAGTTTCCTTCAGAGTTATTTGTTGTTTTCCTTTCTGTTCTAGAGCTGGAATTCAGAACCTTCTGGGCAAAGCTCTGCCTTGAGCTGTGTCTTCACACCTTTCCCTTTCCCTTTTTGTGTTCTGAATACTTAGGAATTAATGGCTAATGAAATTTCAGAATTCTTGAGCTTCTACAACAACTATCTTTATGAAACTCCATAAATAGAATTTGAGGATTTCTTTCTCTTGGTTAGATTTAGCATTGCTACAAAGGAAACAATAAACAGTGGATAGGGTTTTAATATGCGGATCATCATCCAGCTGCCTGGGCTACATTAGGAGATACTGTCTACAAGAAGAGTAGTTTTAAGTACTGTCCTGGTTATAGGTGGCTTTTAACAATCCAGTGAGTTAGAAAACGGAGACTTCCTGCTTTACAGAAAACCATCACGTTGAGAACACTTGAGATTAGGATGCCGTGGTTTTCTTGTTACCATGTCTGTTGGCTCTTACAGTCTGAGAAGCTTGACTGGGGTCCAAACAAAACCACCTCCATCGGTCTCACCTGGATCCTAAGGAACATTGGTGACAACTGTGACCTTGGTGGTTTGATGTAGCGGTCATCCCAGCTCTGGCATTCTGCTTTATCCTCTAAGATGCATTTGTCATTCAAAACCATATTGTTGGGAATAGAGTGCCCTGTACTGTCACACATCTCAGGACTGTTTATTATCCGTAACCCTCTATATCACTGAGGTGGTACACAGGCAGAGTAGAGTACTCCATGCTGGCCATTGTTAGCAGCTTTGCTGACCCCGTTTTTTGCTTCTTTGCCACACTCCATGTTTGCTGACATATTATCTGGAGACCATGAACATGGTGTGACAGCATCTATGTGTGACAGCGTGATTGTGGAGGGCTAAGGTCTGATGCTGGTAGACCTATGCCTTCAGAGCACTCCATCCATCTTCTGCTCACTGTTCAAGTTTGAACCCATGAGCTGTCCAGAGTCACAGGAGCAGTGAGGCCTTCCCAGGCATTTCATGCTCAGCCTACTGTTGTGAAAGGCATGGTACTTGATTTTGTTTGGTACCAAGGTGGGCCCGTACTAGATGGATAAAGAGCTGCCTTTTGGGTCTTGGTCTTTGTGACCACGTTTTAATGGGCTCATCATGTTTCCTTTAATAATTATTCTAGCAAACAGGATGGGGTGGCAGTTTTATCTCCAGGGTTTATTAAGAGCTGGTCAGGAGAAAGCAGAAGTGGAATGGATGCTGTGACTGAGATGGCAATGACCTTGTCCTTGTCCCCAGCTTCACCAATGCGGGCACTGAGAGCATAGGCCAGTAGCATGGTGAGGGTAGCCCGATGATGGCCTTGAGAGGCAGCATCTGTCTTCGTGTTAGCCAGAGTGATTTTTGAAATTTTCTCTACCTCCAGAGAGATGTACTATTTTGAGTAAATTCAAATTAACTTGGTGTTGATGTAATATGCAGAGCTGTAATGTGTGAGTTAAATGCTAGCCTTGTTAAACAGAGTGCTTAAATCTATTTTCCAGACTGTGCCTGTTATAAATGGCTGCAGAGAATGCCAGTGACATGGGTTAGATTGTAGTGGTCTTGAAAGCATTCAGTGAGGCATAGCGGGCTGGCATTGGTCATCAGTATGTATCAATTGTACACATTCCTTTTGCCTCAGTTTCCACGGGCTCCCTTGCTCAGCAGTATGCGCATCCTAGTGCCACCCTGCATCCACATACGCCCCACCCTCAGCCTTCGGCCACTCCCACTGGACAGCAACAAAACCAGCATGGTGGAAGTCATCCTGCACCCAGTCCTGTTCAGGTAAGGAGAGATGCTTCCTTGCCCCTGCTACCTAAAAGTCTCTATTTGATCAGAATGTAAAAGGCAGCTATCCTTATGTAGCTGCAAGCAGTTGTAGTTACAGGGGAGGCCTTGAAAATGTCAAGTAAGCCATACCCTAAGGGTAAATACCAGAAACAGGAGTGTGGAAAAGCTACTTAGCTTAAAGTTCTGTCTGGAATTTTATTTCTGAAGTCACTCAATAATGCTGCCTTCCTGTTTGGCTTCTTGGGGGGGGGGGGGGAGACAGAATTTCTCTGTGTTACAGTCCTGGCTAGAACTCTGTACCTTTTGGAGCCTGTCCTGGAACTAGCTCTTGTAGACCAGGCTGGCCTTGAACTCAGCCTCTACCTCCCAACTATCTGTTGGGTTCTTTAGTCACATTTGCTAGTGGGGCAATTGATGGTCTGACAATCTTGTCAGTTACTCCACCTCTACCTGTTTATACCTGTAACTGCCAGGCTGAGACTTGGGCTTGAGAACCCAGAAAAGGCCATCTGGACAGGAGATGCCCTTGCTCTTCTCTTGCACCTCCCTGGGCATTGCTGGGGTGGGGGTGGGGCTACTGCTGCTTTCAGTGTGTGAAGCTCTGATCCTAATGGCTTCTCAATAAAGAAGTTTCCCATTGCTTTGCAGCACCATCAGCACCAGGCCGCCCAAGCTCTTCATCTGGCCAGTCCACAGCAGCAGTCAGCCATTTACCACGCTGGGCTGGCACCAACCCCACCTTCCATGACACCTGCCTCTAATACACAGTCTCCACAGAGCAGTTTCCCAGCAGCACAACAAACAGTCTTCACCATCCATCCTTCTCATGTTCAGCCGGCATATACCACCCCTCCCCACATGGCCCACGTACCTCAGGTAAACCAGTACTAGCCAAGTTTCTGTGAAGGCCACGTAGGGTATGGTGGTTGCCAGATAAGCAGCAAGGAGCCAAATGCTCCCCAAGCCAGGAAACCCTGTGTGTGGTGCCATCTGCTTGTCTCCCCTCCCTGCTTAGTATGTGATCTTCTGGCCCTCAGTGAATGTTGCTATGGTTTTGTGGTGGGATCAGTGAAATTGTGACTTAGCATTTCCCAGCTGAGACCTTAAAACTGAGTCTGGAATGCACCCCAGTCCTTTCCTTTCTGTGTCTGCTTTGCTACGTCTTTCTAGCTTAACCACTATGTGTATATGTGTACACATAAAGACACTTCTACACACGCACACACGGGAGCTTGGCAGGGATGGCAGGCAGCCTTTTAATGGTTCTCAGCTCTCTGAGGTGACTGCACTGGGCCTGTTAGCTTGAATGTTAGTCACATGAATTCCGAGACGTGTCTCAGTTGTTTGCCTGGTTACCCTCTATCTGCTGCAATTCTGTGTTGTGCTTCATGAGTGCTTGGCCTTGGATTGTAGTGTAGTGTAACTGAAGCTCCAGGGCAGCCCAGGGCCAGGGGAGGCCTCTATGACTCTTAGTGTGAGGTGGCTGCATCAGGTGTCTCTGCTACTTTGATTGCAGCTCCCTGAGGCAGGTCTCATTTAGGGTTACTGAATGACTCCATTTCCTGTCACAGTGCGCCACTGAGGCTTTGGCAAGGTGTGAGCTAGAGATGCTGTGCAGTTGGTGGGTCTCTTGCAGAAGGCTAGTTTGTTACTAGGTGTCCTTCCCCCAGAGCTAAGGGTGTGTAGTAGGAAATACTCCTGTTGATTGGCTGGTGACAGTGGGGAGGGGAGTGAGTTTGGTCAGTGTGTTTTGGTGGAGTGAGATTAAGAGAGTCAGGGTCCTGTAAGTGTCTAGCAGAGGCTGTGAATTTACATGTAAGATGGGCTCATCCCAAACCTCGCTTGTCTGTTTGAGTAGAAAGAGTAAGAGACTAACATAGGGAAAGAGAGCCATGGGCCTGTTTGAAGGTGTGAACTAGTGCTTTGCTGGGGTGATGGTCTAGAGCAATGCGCAGGATGGGAGGCAGGAAGCAGCCTCTTCCTGCTCTGCCCACTCCTTGCAGAGCCGAGGTTGAGCTCACTAACCGGTCAGCCAACATCACTTTGCTAACAAAGTTGATGCCACTTGGTACAGAGCACCAGGCTGACCCAACTCAGATCACTATCATCTCACTGGAGCCATTAACTTTGCTCCATCAGTTGAGCTTTTATAGTAAGGGGCCTGAGTGCTGCTTTACCCTATTTCTGGGGAACCCATAACGACTGGGGGAGGGCGGAAGAGGAGAGAGTCAGGAAGCTGCTAAGGGTGCTGGGGAGGCAGTCTCCTCACAGGCCCTTCCTTGTCAGTTGCTTTCTGACTTGAAAAGGGCATTGATGTCTTTCTTTGGCCCTGTGCCATAGCAAGTTAAGAAAGTGCCCCTCCTGCCCCAATAGAGGCCTGCTCTTGATGAAGATCTTGCCCTGTGTGATAATCTGTGAGCAGATACTGGGGACTAGGAGGCTGTGGCCAATTTCCCTGTCCCAACCCTACAGGATCTGCCTCAAGGACTCCATCTTACCCTTTCTTGAGTCCCAGTCCAATGAAAGGAACAGTTGACTTGTTGTTTAAGATGGAGATGTTGCCTGTATGCGTAAAAGAGCTCTCTGTTTCAGGCTCATGTACAGTCAGGAATGGTTCCTTCTCATCCAACTGCCCATGCGCCAATGATGCTAATGACGACACAGCCACCCGGCGGTCCCCAGGCCGCCCTCGCTCAAAGTGCACTACAGCCCATTCCAGTCTCGACAACAGCGCATTTCCCCTATATGACGCACCCTTCAGGTGAGGCGTGTGTGTGCAGGGGCCGCCGGGGCACCCTGAGCATTCTGCTCGCACAGGTAGAATGGCAGGCAGGACCAGTGCTTCAGGCTCCAAACCTGACTAGCAAGGCCCGTCCAAGTGTGCTCAGGAGGGATTGTGATGGTCAGGGAGCATCAGGTCTCAGGGCCTCCGGAGCTGAGTCTGTGTGTGTTCTGCTGGTATCAGGGTTGGCTTGAAAAGCAGCAGCCTCATTCTGGGTAGCTGATGCATGCCGAGGACTCAGTTGGCCTTCCTGGTTATGTATGACAGGCTGGACAGGGCAAGTGTGTTCCTTCCTGAGTCCTTATAGGCTGATGTGGGGGGTTTATGCCCATGGCCGAGTTTGATTGTAGCTTGGAGAAACACTGATGAGCTGTGTGCGGACTGGTTTGAGTGTAGCTTTAGCCCCAACCTGTGCCCAGGACACAGGACACCTCATGATGTCTTGTACTGGATGGCTGCTGTAGCAACACCTGTCTCCCCTGTGATTTGGAAAGTATTGGTGCTTGGCTAGCATTAGTGGGAGGGGGTGTGAAGGCCTGTGCTCCTGCCCCACAAGCAGCAAGTCCAGGACTTGTATCTGAAGTGGTTTTTACGTCTGACTGGTTTGTTTCTCCTCACCCCCCTTCCCTCCCCAATCCCACCTTGGCTGCAGCTGGGGGGAGGGGGACACCAGCATTAAACCTCTAGTCTTACTCAAGCTAGCACAAGGGCAGTTGGCAGTCATGTGCTGCAGACACTAGGCTGGTGGGCAGTGGTGCCTGTGTTCTGTTTAAATAGCCACTTTTCTTTTTTACAGTACAAGCCCACCACCAACAGCAGTTGTAAGGCTGCCCTGGAGGAACCGAAAGGCCAAATTCCTTCCTCCCTTCTACTGCTTCTACCAACTGGAAGCACAGAAAACTAGAACTTCATTTATTTTGTTTTTTAAAAAGATACACTGATTTAACATCTGATAGGAATGCTAACAGTTCACTTGCAGTGGAGGATGTTTTGGACCGAGTAGAGGCATGTAGGGACTGTGGCTGTTCCATAATTCCATGTGCTGTTGCAGGGTCCCGCAAGTACCCAGCTCTGCTTGCTGAAACTGGAAGTTATTTATTTTTTAATGGCCCTTGAGAGTCATGAACACATCAGCTAGCAAAAGAAGTAACAAGAGTGATTCTTGCTGCTATTACCGCTTTAAAAAAAAAAAAATCAAGACTTGGAACGCCCTTTTACTAAACTTGACTGAAGTTCAGTAAATTCTTACCGCCAAACTGACGGATTATTATTTATAAATCAAGTTTGATGAGGCAATCACTGTCTACAGTGGCTCAACTTTTAAGTTAAGGGAAAACTTTTACTTTGTAGATAATATAAAATAAAAACTTAAAAAAAAATTAAAAAATAAAAAAAGTTTTAAAAACTGATACCCAGTTAGTGTGTGTTTGTGGCGACTCCTGCTGTTGTGGGGGGCAGACTCAGGGTAGACCTGGCTGGGTATGCTGTTCGAGTCTCCTACTGGAGGAGGTGCTGACCAATAACTTTTCTTCTTCATCTTCGTTCTGACTCAAGGTATCTAGAAAAAAAATCAAGACTGAGAAGACTGAGATTTCCCATAGGTGGATTAGTGGTTGGCTTCAGCAGGAGGAAGGCTGGCCAGAGGTGGGAGCCTTCAGAAAAAGTCCATATCTGCCAGCAGGTGCAGACTCTCTGTAAGCTTCCTTTTTCCTATCTACAGAACCAAACCACTGTTGTTCCAGTGTTACCAGCAGAGGGCAGGAGATACTATACTTCTTCACCAGTCCTTTGTGGCTGTGTGCTTGCTAATAGCACAGAACCCTGCCTGGTTCCTTCCCTGGTGCAGCTGGGGTGGGAGGGGTCCAAAGACCAGGACAGCCAGGAGAACAAAGCTGGCTGCTCAAAGGGAAAGGGAATTGGTGTTGCAGAGATCATGGTCGTAATTCTGAAAACCTTTTTTAATTCACATATAGCAATTTGTACACTGTAGCAAAATTTGCATTATTCAAGAATAAGTTACTCATACAGTACATAAAACAAAGATTTGCCAAATACCTTCTGCCTATGATAGAAGATGAAATCCTGTCTTCCTGTTGTCGCAATGCTTATTCCAGCCACACATTGGCTGTTCGATGCATCTTCATTAGGAGGCAGTGGATGACAGTCTATCACTCGATTTTTGCACTAAGGTAATATTTGAACAAAAGCCCTCAGGGAAGAAATGAAGCCTTCTTTTAGGTTAAGAAACTTACGTAAAAATAGTGTTGTCTGGCCCAAAATTGTAATGATCACTATTCCTTTTTCCTATAATCCAGAAATGATCAAAGGCAGAAGAGTTAAAGCCATATGGACTGCTGGTCTAAATTCAAGGCAGATTAGCTGACCTAATTCTTTGGTGCTGGTGGCTGTTAGTGTGGAGTTGTAGTCAGGAGAAGGAAGTAATGGTGCAGGGGCTGTTGAGCTACACTTATGATCTCTATAGGGCCAGCTCACACTGTGCCCATGGTAATCTGTCAGGACTACTGGGGGTGGGAATGGTGCCTGGTATCTGGCCTGGGGCCTCACTAAGCCACCTGTTCCCCTTCAGCCAACTGGACCTACTCTAGCAGAAAGAAAAGGTGTTGGCCATGAGACAACTTCGTCATAATGTATACCTTTTGAAAGGAAGCTGTGCACAGTGGGTGAGTCCCAGTGCTGTGGGGCTGAGGTGCTGGTTTACACTGTATGGCCAACCTCTCCTCTACTGAGCTGTGTGTCTAACAGCAGAAATGGGTGCCCCTGGTTGAAGTTGGTTGAACTTCTGGCCAGGGACAGAGGCAGCTGCCCCCTCCTCCTATACAGTTGAGGAGTCTGGACCAGTGACTGAATATTGCTTATATCTTTGGTTCATACTTTTTGTGGAAAATGATGGAAAGCTAGTTCTTTTAAAGACAAAACACAAACCTACACCTACACAGTTATGTGCCTTGCTCTGGGAACACAATGGTGGGTGTTCCAAGGTGAAGCACAGTTGGCTGCTTCCCCTATCCACTAAGAGCCACACAAGCTTGCACAGTATCGAGGGTAACCAGATGAGAAGGGTATCAGCATGTTTGCCTCTGACAAACATGTCCAGGAATTAAGTGTGATCCCCTAAAGCCACAGCTGTGAGCCCAAAGGCTGCACTCTCTGGCACCTTTGTGCTCAAGAGCAGCCCACTATAGTCCCTGTGAACTGTGTAGACCCTATCTAGATGGAAAGATTGTGTGTGCAGGAGCATAGCCAGTGACCCTGCTGCCACCTGTGACAGAACACTTACTGAGAGCTGTTATAGGAATTTCTTCATGGTGCCAGCTTCCTATTTGGCTCAGGATGGAGCCATACTCAATAAGCCATTAGATGCTTGTTGGGGAGGTCGGGGGCAAGCTATAATTTGGGTTCATGACACAGGCCTAGATAGGAGGCTTTCATTTGTGCTTGTCTCTCTCCCACCTGTTCATCCCATCCTCTGTAAAGCTGCTATAAACCAGAGTCCTGTTTTTTATGCATAAGGCACTGGGGTAGAATGTCCCTTGCCACCCTCCTCTCTCTGCAAGCTGCCTGGATTTCCCTGAAAGGGTGACACACTTCATTTTCTACATTAAGGAGGACAGTGACTACCCTGTAGCAGGCAACCATCCTGAGGAGGAGCAGACAAGGACACTAGCATGCTGGCTTAGCTTGGATGGGTGGAGCAGGTGTGCTTAGCTGCCCCTAACTTCACAATAGCACAGGTCCTAGCAGGGCGGGGCAATAAGCTGTGATTTCATATGGAAACCTGAATCCTTTAAAAAAAAAAAAAAGTTATCTGAGGTAAAATGTTTAAAATCATTTTTGACTTTTAAGCCTGTCCCTCTGGCAGAGCTTCTGTCTAAAGCTAAGAATAGAAGCAGGATTAAGAAGCATCCATCAGCTGTGGAACTGAAGCTATGGGGAAAGAGACAGGACTTGTTAGTGTTTTGTGCTTCCCAATGAGCCTACTTGGTAGGAAGTCTGTTATAAGCTCTGACTACCAGTTTCCACTGCCAGCTCTGGGCCTATAGCCCCCCTCCTCTGAACTGGGCTTGGGCCTAGGGTATCAGCTAGTGGCACCTGTGCACAAGAACTACATCTGTAAACAGTGGGAGAAAGCCAGGGGCTAGCTATGGCTGACAGAAGGCTTGTGGCAGCCTGGTAGAGAGCACATCTGAGCTGGGGAAGGCTGATGACAGCCTGTAGCTCTCTGGAGAAGAGGACGATGGTTACATTCACAAATTTGCGTCCCTGCACAGCTGTGAGAGAGGGGTGTACTGGTTGTCAATGGCCCGAAGGTGGCTCCGTGAAGAGGAGTCCATCCCATAGTCTGAGTCCCGAGCACTGCTCACAGGCTCCAGTTCCAGGTGCCGCAGACTGTTGGCCAGTTCCTCAGGAGAAGGCACCAAGTGGAAGATTTGCTCTGGGGGTGTCACTCGGCCGGGTAGAGCCTCTGCGCCAAGGCTTGCGGGGATGCCAGAAGAGTTGAGGTGTGAAAGACCCAGCTCCGAGTCCCAGTGAGGAAGGGAGAAAGGGAAGAGGACCGTGTTGGAGGAACCTGGAGAGGTGACATGGATGAGTCTCAACAGTGAAGAAAATGCACCAGACAAGCTTTGTGTACTTCTGTGATACCACTCCTTGACAAAAACTTTGGGGTTCCTACCTGGTGCTTGGGAGACAACTACCACATAGCCGGAGAGCCGGACATCACAAGCTGCTCCACACTCAAGTGGGATGGGGGACCGCTGGAAGTGACGGAGCATGTCCACCACTGAGGGAAAGTGCAGGTGCTGCACACGGCACTGTCCACGTTCTGTGAGCACCAGGCGGAGGTGCTGTGTAAAGAGGTGGAGGTCAGCCTGCTGCCCAGGCTGCATTCCTCCCATCCCAGCCCACCAGTTCCTGACCCTACCTTGGCTCTGCCCTGTAAGTTGAATGTGAGCACATACTCCCCTCTCCGGGACTCACTCTGCCGCACCAGGAACACACCATGGGCATCAGGGCCCTGCAACTGAACCAGCTGTGCAGCCTTTACCCTGGAGATAGGGCCGTGGAACCAGGGGTAGCAGGACAGGAAGTGATCTGTTTTCTGGCACGCTGGGTCCAACATTGCTCCAGGTGAAGCACCTAGCGGAAAGATGATGGTGGTAACGTGTGGGGGCCACATGTCCAAGACAACTGAGGCCAAGGGTCTGGCACATACCTTGGTCCAGGGAGTCTGTGCTTCCCCTTGGAGAGCTGGCTGGACCAGGCTCTGTCACGAAGGAAAGGGGTAACTCTGTGTCCATGCACTCCAACCTATAGGGGAAGAGGCTGGGTAAGGAGAGAGCCAGCAGGGAGGATCATAGCTAGGCTGGGCAGGGTCAGGCCTTACCCTTGGCCTGTGCTAGTTCTGAGCTCTGCTAGCCATGAGTTCAGCTGCTGTTCATCTCCCACCTCGAAGATGATGTCTGTCTGGTCCTGCACCTGCAGAGAGAGGCAGCATACAGTTCTGCATCTGGGGAGAGAACAGAGTCTCCCAGGGAGCCATAGTCCCAGCACTCACCTTCAGCACAAAGGTATAGAGATTGTCGGGCATCTCCAGGCGTGTACATGGCCGGACCTCCCGGATCCTGGAGCAGGCCTCTTGGAGCTTGGGCTTTGAGCTCTAGGAAAACAAGGGGGTCATTCAGGGTTAACCCATGGAGGCTTTCCCCTACCTCAGGCCTCTCAAGTTGTCTGCAGTCTCTCACTACCAGAAGGAGGAGGCACGGAACACTCTGCAGCTTAGCTCTCTCCAATCAGGAAGCTCCTGTCCTCCCCTACCCTACTGCCCAGTAGATTCAGCCTAGCCCAGAACAGTCAGTTGCAGGAGTCAATACAATTGGCTGCACGACATGCCTGGGAGATGCCACCTTAATGTGTTTGTCTGGCAGCACAGATGCCAGTTTCTAGGGCAAAGCTCAGGATCAGGGTACCTTAGGACCCAGATCAGTTAGTGTCTAGGAGGGAAGCCCTCCCCTTGCCTGTCCTTTAGTTCTTATTTCCTCTGGTGATAAGATTGTTCTTACTGGCTGAGATGGCTGAGGACCAGCTTCCAGCAGAAGCTAAGATAAGCTACTGGGAGAGCCAGAGAAGAAGGAAGGACAAAGGACTTGACAGGCCTCTTCCCCTCCCTTTATGGCTTTTGTCCCAGACCAGGAGAGAGTACCAAGTCAAGTACATCAGAGCCTGCGTTTTTACTCTGCTTCTTGCGCTGCCCCAGCTTAAAACAAAGTCCACCCCAGTGCCATCAGCTTGGTCACTTGCCTGTTACAGGAGTAACGGGAAGCTGCTAGAGATGGGCCAAATGGGGAAGACACGATTCCTACTCCTGTCCACAATTGCTGTCTGCTGACCAGATTTGGGGTTCTTACCAATTCCTGGTGCAAGCTTTAATAGGATCAGTACCACAGTGCCTGTTGTGAGTTACCTGCTGGATGGGGTGCCTGAGCCTGTACTAGGCCAGGGACAGGGTACACAAGTACTGGCCTATGGCCCATCTGGTTGGACTACTAAGGGGACGGTGGTGGTGTGAGTCTCTAGCCAAAAGCCATTTGGAGGCTTTGGAGGCTTCCTTACCAATGTGTGTCACTGGTCAAGCCTGCCCAATAAGCAGCTCTTCCCAGACCCAGCTCGGAATAGCTGTGGGTGGGACTGGAGTGGTCAGGCCCACTGAGATTGCTCAGTGGAAGTAGAGTGGCACCAACTACTATGTTCCATACCGTCTACTTCCAAGCCAAGAACTCAGTTCTTTTGGCTGTTAGGATGCTGTCAAATCTGATAATTGCATTTCCACAGTGAATCTTGACCTTCTACTTCCGTCTACTTTGCTCTGCCCCTTACTCTACATCCCCAAGCGATGGGAGCTGCCCTTTTCCAAACTATTCCTGACCACTGAATGAAGGTCTGATGGTGGGAGAAAAGGCCTGAGATGTTTCCAGGATGGCAGTCAGCTCTGTGTGGGCCATGACATGCTGCAGTTGCCTGTGTATAACCCCAGCAATCATACAACAGGAAGGAGCCAGAGGTCAGGAGTCCTGCCACCAGCCACTGCACCTCCAGCCTGCTGGGAAATGAGAGGCTGACTCACTAGCCTCCTCTTGGGTCCTTGTACTGATTCCTGGCCATTCTTAAAGCCACACAGTTTCATGTGTCAAGGGACAGCTAGGATCTTTCTTGGAACCCAACAGTATCTTCAGCAGACTGCTGCTTCCCTTTGGGGCCCTGAAGGCACATAGCCCAGGGAAGTCACACCTACCCAAGAAAGGAGACTGTGGCTGCCTTGAAATCCTCAGGAAACAGCCATGAACTTCTACACGGGTAGAAGCCTGAGGGAAAGGGGAACCAGGGGGACCATGAAAATAGCCTTCCTCCAAAACAGTGCCTAATGAACCTCCCCAATGTCATAACAGGACAGAGACTCACTGCAGTCACCCAGTCTAGAGCCTGGCTCCTACCACCCTATGACCTGAGGACAGGAGGAGGGACCCACTGATCTAGGAGGAGAGAGCGGAGAAGGCTTTGGGCCAACTGAGTCCTGCCATTCGTGACTGCCTTCTCTCACCCCCAATGCCATCCCAGAGCCCGGTGGGATGGAAAACACCCACTCCAGTGTTGGGACGATTGTATCAAAAAACCAGCCTGCACCAGGTATTGCACTAGGGAGACAAAGGCTAACCTCCAGATAATAGGAAGCCTTGTTTTTCTAAACAAAACCACAAATACCCCACTTTGTTCCAAAACAGAGTCCAGTCGGATTAGAGACATCTGGGAGCCAAGCAGACAAGAAGTCAGTCCAAAGAGGGACTCTGACATGTCCAGCAGCAGACTGTTGAACCCATTCATCTTCCTGACTCTGTCCTCTTTCTTGGACTTTATTCCCATTCTTGGCTACTTAGGGTCAAGTAAGAAAGTCTGCAAATTCAAGATTCACGGCACTTGCCAGTCGGGCTTGGACTAGCCCTGCTAGCCTTTTTTCCCCCTAGGGTTTCCTACAGGCCAAAGATTGAGCACCAAGGCCCTTGGCAAAAGCTCTGCAGTCCCTGGGTGGGCAGCATGGTCCAGAGTGGCCCCAGAGGCCAAAAAGCAATGGTCACACAATAGCCAGAGTACCTATGGCTAGAGAGGACAGCCTCAGCACTGGAACACAGGCTGCCCAGCACAGTGCTTCCAAGGGATGGGCTTGCAGGCTAGCAATACAACAAAACTCTTAAATCTTAATGGGATGAGTGTTGCATGGTGGAAGGAAAAGACCCACAGGGACCAAGAAGCAAGAAAGTTCCAGAGTGACCCACACACACACCTTGATATCATGTAAGGCTAAATTTGCATGTGGTGGGGAGAATCCCCCTATTAAAAAGAGCCTCTCAGGAAACTGCTTCCAGCATAGGGAATCTATAGGCACGCTTTATAAGCATAAGGGAGGCCCAGAATTCTGTCTGTCAAGGCAAGGTGGATGTTGGAGTCCTCAGAAGAAATCTTTGTAGGGTAAGAATTAAAGCTGGACAGGAAGTGATGACCCTGAGACCTAAAGAATCTCATGCCAGAGAGCTGACATGTGACAGGACCAGGACCATGACATATAAATGACATATAAACCAGTAGCACAGACATGATACAGGCTGCAGCACAGACATGATACAAGCTGAACATGTAGCTTGGTTGGCAGTGTTGCCTCACATGCACAAAGCCCTAGTTCAGTCCCCAGCACCACAAAACCAGGTACAGAGAAACAAAGTCATGGCCTGCTGAGACCTAAAGCACTGGGAAGGTTTGGGATGTAGCTCAGTGACAGATCCTTGCCCGGCATGCATTATCAGGCCCAAGCTCCAATGAAATGACCAAAAAACAGGGAAACAGAATCCACAGAGTAGACAGCCCATAGGGACTCGACTGCTAAAAGAGGCATAATCCTCTCAAGTGAGATATTCTGCAATTAGACAATTGTATAATTGTGTAAATATGCTTTAAAAAAACCCAACAATGTATTCACTTTAAGCAGGAAAATTTTATGGTATAGGAATAAAACTTTTCAAAGAGAGAAATGGCAGCTGGACATGGTGACACACACCTTTTTAATCCCAGCACTTGGGAAGCAGAGGCAGGCTCTGTGTTGGAGGCCAACCTGGTCTACACAGAGAAGCCCTGTCTTGAAAAACAAACAAAAAAAATAGATAAAGACAGTTCTGCAATTAAGAGCACTTTGTATTGAAGTTAGAGATACACAGTGGCTGCTCTCTCAAAGGACCTGGGTTCAATTCCCAACATCCACATGGCAGCTCGAAACTGTAACTCCAGCTCCACAAAGACATATATACAGGTCAAACACCAATACACATAAAATAAAAATTAAAAATAAAAATTTGTGCTTGTCTATAGTACCCAAGTCCAGTTCGTGGCACCGACCTGATGGCCTACAACTACTTCCAGCACCAAAGGCTCCAACACATTTTTCTGATCTTTACAGGCACCAGAGCACACACGTGCATAGACACATAATAAAAACCATAAGCTGGGACAAAATGATTACAAGTTCCAGGCTAGCTTGAGATACATAGTGTAAAGGGGAGGATGAGGTGACAAGTGGTGCATAGGTTGGTGCCACTGGGTAAAGGATACAGCAAACATTGAGCATGGGAGAGACTCCCTTAGTTAGCTATAGAACCAAGTCCAGTCTGCTTCAGGCCCCGACAGCTGCAGCTAATATGGAGATGTGGGGTGACCAGGCAGTGAGGATGCCTGTCTGGGCTCCTGTGGGATGCCACATTATGTTGTAATTTTGCAGCTCATCAGAATGCTAACTGTGGAGTGAACAATCTACTAGACATATCGAACAGATGTTAAAAGCATTATTTGCCAAAACTCCCCAAGTGGAAACAGCCTAATTTCCACTTGCTCATGATTTGGGGGTGGGGAAACCATACAAAGGAATATTTATTACTTGGCTGTTAAAAGGAACAAGATTATGGATATAACTTGGAAACCTAAGGGATACAATGCAGATATACAAAGGCTATCTCCAGCTTGAGTCCTTTGGCTAATATTCTAGGAGAGGATGGTGATGGCCACACCACTCTGAACTAGTGAATGTCTTGGTAGCCAGATCATTTTCCAGTGGACCCTGAACCCTGGGGGTGAGGAGATGTGCCCAAGACTGTTCTCTCTGGTAACTCCACCCAAGGAGACACTCAGATAATGCAATGCTCAGCGCAGAATCAACTGCACTGGGGAGACATTGCAGGTATCTGAACTGAGTGCAAGTGATGCAGGGCTGGAACATGCCTGCCATACTGACACTTTGTGATAGACACTGGATCACATGGGCTGAAGTCCCCTACACTGGAAGCCTCCAGCTGCCAGCTTCAGGGCCTGGCACACTGCAGAGTAGGAGATAGTCTCTTGGAGGAAGCCAGGTGGAGACATGGATAAAGCCATTTACTGAGACGTCAGGGATGGGGGAACTCTAGGGAATCCATCTGTGATTTGGTCTCTTTGGACAATCCTTGTCAGTTCCTAAATGGTGGCAGCATTCTGAGACCATGTGGCCCCTTCCAGACAACTGCCTAGAGGCAGTTTTGCTGTGTGTGTGTTGGTGCCAGGGCCAGGGGTCCTGTCTCTTCCAGGAGG